ATATATATATATATATATATATCGTGTATATCATCCCCCGAGGAAGACGAAGAAGAGAAATCGATTTCATGGATCAGGTTGCATTCAGACTGACGTTTCGGAAACACACTCGTTTCCATCATCAGAGTCGTGCGCTGACGTTTCCTGCTGGCCTTGATCTGTTCAGCCTTGCCGCCTGCCTCGTATTATAACCGTGCACAGCGCACGTTTGTTGACTAGCCTGCTCTCCGTTGGCTGATTGTCGCCTCCCTGATCTCAGCCATTGGTGGACTGGCGTGGCTTTGTCCCCCTCACGCCTAACGTGGTTTCCGCGGCGTCGGCGTGCTCGTTCGCCTCCCCCTCGTCAGACGGCGGGCTGATCGGTCTTTGTTTCTCAGGCGTGGTGTTTCCGGCCTCGCGAGTACGTCCGTGAGACGGTGTGCCACGCCGGTCACGTGACATTCGGTAAGCGCCTTCTCCTCTCTCCGCGAGCGTCGGCGGTCGACCCCGTGTGGCTCTGCTCATCCGTGCCATCGGCCCTGCCTGGACTGACTCGAGTCTTGCGCGGAGCGCCTGGTAGGCTGGATGTAGGTCTATGGCCCGGTTGAGTGTGCCAGTCGAGGACCAACTTTCCAGCATTAGTCTGGCCATTTTATCATTGGCTCGGCCGATCACACTTGCTTTCTCGAAGGCAAAGCAGTGATTCCGCTCTAGTGTGTGGCCATACACCAACGACAGCTTATCCTTGCGGTTGATTGCTAGCTGGTGCTCGTGCAGTCTTGTGCCGAGGCGTTTTCCCGTTTCACCAACATACCTGGCATCACAATCTTGGCATGGTATGCTGTAGACTACCGCTGATTTTTCTGTCACCGGGAGCGGGTCTTTGGGCCTCATAATTTGCTGTCTGATTGTTGATGCTGGTTTATGGGCCACACCGATTCCAAAAGGTTTCAGAATTCTTGAAGTTGCCTCTGAAACGTTCTTCACATAGGGGATCGAGAGCCAGAACCTTGGTTTCTCCTCGTTCGACCGCCCCGAGTGGGACTTCCTGAGACACTTGCGTATGAACGACTTCGGGTAACCGTTGGCTTCAAATAGAGCACGTAAGTACTTCACCTCCTTCTTCCTGTCATCGTCGTCGCTGCAGTGTGTTTGGGCGCGTTGGAAAAGGGTCCTGACACAACTGCGTTTGTGACCGACGGGGTGGTTGCTTCTGAAGTGGAGGATGCGCCTAGTGTTAGTCGCCTTACGGTATATATATATGTAGAGTAGAAGTGGTAGGCATTCCGAGACGATATAATGAAATAGGAAGAGGTTCTTCGGAAAAAATCGAGTTGTACTCGTGAATTTTCGAATCGGTGACACCAACCCGTCGTCAGACGAAATGAAGAGAAAAGAGGGAGTGAGACAGTCACACTAGACTAATAGACGAGACAGGACAAACATTGGCGGACGAACCATTAGCGTGTGAGGAGGGATGCGGGTAGGGAGTCATGCTGGGTTCTGAGCCGGGAGGGTAGGAAGGGGGGGGGACCGTTACGGCTCCCGTGTTGGAGGGGAGGGAGAATGGTAGGTTGGCAGAACTGCGGGCGCCTGGATTAGCGGCTGCTGATGCGGCGTGGGGCTCGGCTTAGTGAGGCGTGATCTTAGGCCCTCATAATGGACGTCTGGGTCAACATGGTGGTTGATGCTATCCGCATTAGAGTGCCATTCCTCTAGGAATTCTCTCGCCCGTTTTGTGTTGGCCGTGGCGATGACCTCGGTGTTATCCCAATTAAAACGGTGGTCGCACTGGAGTGCGTGTGCAAAGACGAGAGACAGTGGATCACGGCGACGGACAGCTAGTTTGCGTTCATTAATACGGGTTCCCAGGCGTCGTCCTGTATGACCAACATATACGCAGGGACAATTGGCACACGGGATGCGATAAATGACATTAGTCTGTTCCTCTTTGGGGATAGAATCCTTTACTCGAGTTAAGACTGTGCGCAGCGAGGATGCAGGCTTGTGGGAAACGCGAATACCGAACTGACTTAACTGACGGGCGATCATTTCTGAGGTCCCCTGCATATAGGGCTGGGAGAAGAATTTCCGCGTCACGGTTTCATGCGCCGCTGTGCGGCTGCTGGTTGGGCTCGAGAGAGAGTCCATAAGGCACAACGGAACGCGTGAGTTCCGTATGAACGATCGGTGAGCGCCCCCTTAACATTGTATATTCCCGATCGAAAACCGACAAGGCAACGGGCTCGTGGTCCGGTGAGTAGAGGCGTTGACTTCTAAACCAACAGGTCGCGAGTTCGAGGCTCGGGTGTTGCATACTTCGGGCTTGGGTATGGCTGGCTGACGACGGCTAATAAGCCAGAAATGGCCATTCCAGTCTCCCTTGTCTTTGTCGGCAATACTAATCTGCCTATATATCATGCGCCGCTGTGCGGCTGCTGGTTGGGCTCGAGAGAGAGTCCATAAGGCACAACGGAACGAGTGAGTTCCGTATGAACGATCGGTGAGCGCCCCCTTAACATTATATATATATATATATTGTTAACAGAAGCGAAGATTCGAGTCCCCGGACATAAATGAAAAGAAGAGGCGTTCTCAAGGACCATGATTGTATTTTACTGATGTTTCAAAAGCAGACAAGCTTTCATCGTCGGAGGTGAGTATCGTACGGCATCACACAGTATTTATAGGAGGGGGAGGGGGGGTAGATATCAGTCATGCTAACACGGCGGTAATTATACGGGGGAGTGGTTAATCGGCTTTGGCGCTAATGGTCCGCATACTCACAGGGATCGTCTCTGTAGTCGCCGGGGCAGAGCGGGAGGGAGGGTGACTGCTGTCAATCTGCCTGTCTCTCGTCGGGGCGGGGGCGGCATTTGAACGTTGGTGACATCAGGTGCTCACGGACGCACCTGACGCAGTTGCTCCTACACTGGGGTCTATCAGGTGGGTCATAAGCACTTTATCGAACGGAAGTTCATCAGTGCCTCGCCACCTGTCATTCTCTGTCACTGCCTTTGGGGATCGGGATTGTTCATCGGCCAGACTCAACCATTCGACATTTCGTTATGACGCCGGAGGCCTCCCTGCCACGAGGTGAGACGAAAAAATGTCATCTACTGGGTCCAGTTTAACTCTTGTGAAGCTAACTACGTCGGAGAGACAGGCAAGCGGTTACAAACCCGCGTTAATAAACACATGCGGGCAGTGAGGAGAATGGATCAATTGTCTCTGGTGGCGAAACACTGCGCGGACTCTGGACACACTTTCGCCTTTCAGAACGCCAAAATTCTGGGTCGAGGCAATGACCGCGTAGCCAGAGAAACGATCGAGGCCTCGCACACGGAGACAACCTCAATAAACCGTTGTGTGGCCCCTCCGACAGCCTACCAAGCCCTCCGGACGCAACTCAACGAACTAACGAGCAAGCGCGAAGTCAGGCCGGACGTGAATCCGAACACGGGAGAGCCTACGACGGACCTACACGTAGCCACACCGCAAATCGGGCCCGACGAAGGCGCAGTCATCAATACTGTTGCCTCAACTACTACTCCGGCAGACGGGGCGAAACGCGGTCAGAGGGATGCAATCAAGACTAGCAACCCAGCACGACACTTAAGGTCAACGCGAATGCGGGCGATGGCCACCAACGTTCAAATGTCGCCCCCGCCCCGACGAGAGACAGGCAGATTGACAACAGTCACCCTCCCTCCCGCTCTGCCCCGGCGACTACAGAGACGATCCCTGTGAGTATGCGGACCATTAGCGCCAAAGCCGATTAACCACTCCCCCCGTATAATTACCGCCGTGTTAGCATGACTGATATCTACCCCCCCCCTTCCTATAAATACTGTGTGATGCCGTACGATACTCACCTCCGACGATGAAAGCTGGTCTGCTTTTGAAACGTCAGTACAATACAATCATGGTCCCCGAGATAGCCTCTTTTTCTCATATATTAATATATATCAGAGGGCAGACGACAGTCTGGGGGTTGATTTATACAGAACTGTTTCGGGCTTATTTGCCTTCATCCAGCCAACCATAACCCTGACCACCGGCTGGGACCGGAAACACGCACGTGCGCACAGACACACCTGGCGCAGCTGGTCCACCACTGGGGTCTACCAGATGGGTCATAAGCACTTCATCGAACCGAAGTCCATCGGTGCATCGCCACGTGTCATGCTCTGTCGCTGCAGATCGGGCATTTATTCAATCAGGAATGGGTGTACACCGATCCATTGGCTTCCCGAATCAAACAAGCTTCCTGAGTTAAAAATATCCGATCTGCAGCGACAGAGAATGGCAGGTGGCGGGACACCGATGAACCTCGGTATTATGCCGTACTCCGACATAGATACTAACTAGAAGCCGAGATACGTGTTTCGCCGACATTCTGCCGCTGCGTGACACAGCTGCGAGGCGTTTGGCTCTTCAGGTAAGTGTTTGACCCTCACTGTTGTGGTTAGGATCTCAATCGATCCCGTTCTGTCCGTCCGCCAGCTTGCTGCCGACGACAACAAACGTTATGTCATAGGACACATACCACATATAACACATAAGCAACTCATTAAGAGTGCAACAGGCTAGTCGCAGACAGCTATTTCACGGTCGTTACCGATCTTCAGTACGTCATGGGCAATATGAAGTGAGGTATATATACGCTTCATATGGCCTACGACGTGCTGATGCTCGGTAACGACCGTAAAAAGCTGGCTGCATCTGGCCCCTTGCACTCTTAATGAGCTGCCTATATATTATTTATATGTATTGAATTCTACGCGCTCTTCTGTCACACGTCGCCGATGATACAATCAGGACATGTATCTTAAATTATTTGTACGGAGCGCCACCTTATTTAACGCCAGATTCGCACGGCAAACTTAGTTGTAAACACATGAAACATGCGTCGTCATAGAAATGACTCACCGGTGTCAAGAATTTTACAACGTTCTGGCGGAGTCACCTTATGGTTTATAGTATATTCCCGATGGGACACGCTTGAAATTCCCCTTAGTGACTTACAGCGATGCGTAATTCAAAAAAGTCATTAAGTCTGGGCAAGGCATTTCATATTTATACAGGCACAGTAGAGCCGTTTTGACCAGAAATAATGAATGAAATTGTCAAGTCGGAGACCGGGATACAAGGTCCGAGGACTTGTGTGAGGTTGCACCAAGTGAACCTAAGGCAAAAGATCAGAAAAACATTCCTGCGATTTGCAGAGTAGTTTTAATATTTATGGGTTGGACAATGGGGGACTCGGCATTATGTACGTTTATGTATGGGTGCCCCATACAACGGGTCACACGGTACATGCGCTGGACCAACACGGAAGCCGTACCATGGCCCAGCACGCGTTATCGGGCTGCGCGTTCATAACGAATGCCGTACATGAGGGGGAGCGTGTGGTGGCACAATTGGGCGCATGCTCAGGTCACGTCAGACACTAGCGTCCTTTTCCGCCTCTGGTCGTCTTGACTCTCTCTTGACGCTTGGTTCAGGAGGGTGAGGGTAGAAAGAGTGCGGTAGATGCAGCGCAAGTCTACCATCATTATGAACTAATTCACACGCAAGTCATCGTCCTTACGCTCGCCATGCTGCGAGGCATATGATGGATATCGTCAGAAACGATGATCGAATCGTCGTCCCTTTTCAAGCTGAGACTACTAAAGAAATGAGGCCTGACGAGGAGTACTACCTCTGATAGTCTACGAGGTACAATCTGAGTAACCCAGGTATGCAACATTGGCTAGATGATGACGGTCAGGCAAGTCGTAACACTGGTGGGATAGAGGAATGCTTACCCTGACGGGCGGTGGACTAAGCCGACGAATCAGCTGTGGGATCCAACCGCTGGGAAGGCTGAAAAGGCGTTATACTTAGTATCCGCAGCCATGAAAGTTCCTGTTTAATACGGCAGTCTGTGATCGAGCTTCTGGGACCGGCAGAATGACTTCGCTCATGTTCCAGTGATATGGCTCCTCCAAATTAAAATCCCACGGAACAGAATTTGTCCAACAACTCTAAATCCAAACGCGAAGAAGGCAGCAACTAAAAGTCGGATATTATCACTGACCCTCAATTGACCGACTGTGGACTTGTGCATCTGTGGTGACCGGGCCGCCGTATCTCAAAATCAACGTTCTACGCTTTCAGGCTATTCAGAGGGGAAGGGGGAGGTCTCACAAGCATTGAACTGTTCTAACTCTACAGCCTATCATTCCGTTGCTGGCAGTTCGGCATTTTATGGAGGCCACAAGTTTGCGAAAAAGAGAAGAGATTTGCCCTCAAGATCCGGTGTATAGCCATAACGACGAACGATCAACGAAACAGTTTTCCTGACAGAGCAAGGGAGACCAGCATGATCAGTTACAGCTTACTTACTGGTTTCACCCAACCTCGATCTTAAGGGATCCGTTGTTCATTGTGCATTTTATGTCAAACGTTCCAGCACCTGGGCTGTCGAGACTACTCCCTGCTGACTGCGGTGGGGAACACTGAAGCTCCTGGAATGTCTGTCCGGAAGCTGACTGAAGTTATCGTGACGGCGATCTCGGTGTCTATATTGGTGACAAATCCCGCTTGAATTTCATCAGTTAGCGAAAAGTTGCGCCGAAACGGACTGCTTGCGCTATCAACGAAAAAGGATTCAAGAGGTACTGGGACTTCTCAGTCCACATGAAGTAATCTTTATTTCAAGAGAAAGGGTCGTTCTCTAGGCAGAAACTGGTGTGGTCATGTGGACACCTCCTCAACAAAACCTCACGGAGCAGTTGCTGTTCACGCTGGAACGTGTTTAGTTCGCCTTGTTAAAGCAATCCTCTTTTTTGCGCATTGATGAACCAGGGCGCTGGTACTGTGCTTCCCTATGGTCTCTACATTCTTATGCAGCCTAAACATCAACCCAGTTGCCTGTTCACCTTCCGATGCAAAAAACAAAATCTGTGCCACTGTCACAGGGTCGCAGGAAAAACCATTCCACCCATACTGTACTCCATCGGCATGCATGTGCTGACACGCCCCGGGTTGGCAGGACGCGCGGCTGTCCTGCGGCTGGCCGACCTGCTGACGAGATTGTTTTATGCAATACGGCGACGATGAGTCACCAATCCAACGACCGAGGCGACAGCAGCAGCAGCAGTAGCAGCGGGAACCGGGCCTTCTTTCTGCCGGAGACATCGCCCTGTCGCCAAACGCCAACAGCTACAACCAGCACTTCCCACTGAAAGACGCTCCACACACACACGCACCTTGCGCTCAGTACATACTGAGCGGACAGTGGGGGAAGAACAGAATGCCTTCGAGGGCAGGTTGCGTGCCTGTGGACGCGTGCGTGTGTGCGAAATCGCGTGGATCTCCCAGGTTCGCAGCAGTGACACGGGCCTCAATTCGGAGATAGGGAAGCTGGCGGAAACTGGAAGATGAACGCACTGGTGGTGGTGGTGGTGGTGGTGGTGGTGGTGGTGGTGGTGGTCAGTCTCTCATCGCTGTCGTGTCTGGTTGCACTTTGTACCCAACCCGATACATTTGATGTGTCACAATGCACATCCCTCTTTCTGCGAATACTTCAGATCAGATACTTCGACCATTTTGAAGGAAATATTTCTGGAGAGATGAGGAGGACCTACTGAATTGTGTAACAAAAGGTAGGAAATGTGCGCTGGGAGGCCGGTGCAAATCCTTAGACCGAGTAAGTTGTCTTGGCTTCAGGTGTAGTCGAAGCCGTTAGTTTTCCGCTATCTTCAATCAGGAAGAAGCTTCGACAATGAAGCGCGTGTCCATGAGGCATCCAATAATACTGAAAAGCCGGCAAGGACGCAGTATGCGACCCCACCCAGGAAACAAAAACCAGGTCATCGTGCAATACAGGTTTTATGGGTGAGAATAAACGGCTGAAATGAGAGCGCGATAGTAGATAAACATTCGGATAAATGCTGAAGTAGCATATTGCGTTCTCGTGCTAAATCTCTCTACAATCACTCGCAAAGTAGCCCACGTAATAGGAACCCGATTCCCGAGGAATGATGAGGGTATCCGGATATATGACAGTGTAAGCAAAATTTGAGCATTTTCTCTGTTCTTCCAGGTTGTTTTCCCAAAAGAAGTAGGTTACATCCCATCTACAGTGCGTGACCGATCTCATGAAACGTTGGTCAAAATTCTGGAATGCGTTTCCGATTAGGAAGGATTACTGAAGTGTGGTTTTTATACTGATTATCACGCAGCATAACCCTATAAAATTTCGGACTCGCCAGGATGTCGGCTTTTGAATGCACTTCTTTTTGACCCTCTGCAGAAACCACACTTGGTAAAAATACTACTTAAGTAGCACGAATTTTCCTACTGATTTTCGATAGTCTTATAAATTCAATTATATTTTACAGAAAACATGCATAAAAATACGCTTTCTTTTGCTCATTTGGTAGGAAATCACGTTGTCTTCATATTTTCTGCCCGAAGAAAGTGTGAATTTAGGTTTTAAAAAAGTATTTCAATTCCTGAATAATTTTCAACATGATCTGTCATTGCATCAGCGTTTAGCAATTTCAGTCTACAAGATGCATGCTTTCCGCGTAAGTAAAATCATATATTCCTCTATGCCATTAAGAAGATACCACGTAGAGTTCATGAAATTTTGCAGAGGATCCGGATTGTGCTGTACACTTCATGAGAAGCATTAGTAAACGCAGATGTGCGGTCTTGCATGCATTGACATCGTACGGTCTTACAAATCTCATAATCAGAAACTTAAGTAGTATTTTTTTTACCGAGTGTGGTTTCTGCAGGAGGTCAAAAAGACGTGCATTCAAAAGCCGACATCCTGGCGAGTCCAAAATGTTATAGGGTTATGCTGCATGATAATCAGTATAACAACCGCACTTAAGTAGTCCTTCCTAGTGGGAAACGCATTCCAGAGTTTTGGCCAACAGTTCATGAGATAGGTCACGCACTGTAGTTACGAGATCATGGAAGCGTTAATTATGAAAGAAGGCTGGTACGCAACACACCCCGATGATCTGGTCTTTGTTTCCTTAGTGGGGTCACATACTGAGTCCTTGCCAAACAGTCAAGATGACGGGTAATGTCGCATGGCGCAGTGATGTCTGAACGATCACGCTTCTACGTACATTCCACCATCATGCTTTGTGGGCTACCCTACTTCACCGAGACAGAATTCTTCTGTGCAAACTGATGTGCCGCACGTCTAAGTCTGATGTTCAGGTGTCCTCACTCTTTAGAATCGCGCGAAATTGGTCAGGAGGCCAAAATGCCATCACATGAACCTTCGCTCTCTATATATATGAGAAGAAGCAATCAATCTACGGGTAGTATTTGGTCGAAGACGCTTGTACTCCTCCACCAGAACCTGTTTCGTCTACTTCATCCCCAAAGAGCAATAATCTAATCGGCCATGTGCAGGATCCATCAACTGCGCTATCCATACACACCCATCCAGGGGACTTGCTCGTATGCTCCACCGACCTGAGATCGAAGTTGTATGGAATGCCATCTCGCTCGGACACGCCTTGGTTAACAGCGGCTCGGAAGAAGGGAGAGGAGATAGGAAAAGCAGACCTCTTGCCTTCTTTAGTGCGCGGGACTGACGTGCCAAATGACTAATCTTCACTCGGAAGAGGGCTGAAGTTGACAGACTGTAACTGTGGAGTGCGCCTGCCTCGCGAAACCAGCACTGGTGACTGAGGACACACATGTTTGGATCGAAAAGCCAATGGGCCGCTCTGCGCCTATTCATGCATGAGTAGCTACAACATAAAATGCTGGGTGGCGAGTCATTGCTGCACTTTGTTTCAATGATGGACTTAGGACCCATCGGATATGCTCCGTCTCTGAACAATCTAGGCTGTGTGTGGACGTGCGGAGTTTTGGGGTATCCATTTAGAGGGGTAAGCCGTGTAGGTGCGGTGGGTCGCATTATGCAGGTAGTGACTACTTCGCACAGTCCTTAACTGGCATCAAAACCTCACATGTGGCTCCCAGAAGCTAGGCTCGGCCTAACAGCCACAGACTAGTAACCACATCCACCGGTGGTCTGAACCAAATGAGGACATTCGGTGTTGTGCCACCAGACCCGGTAAGTATGCTCTCCTTCTCACTTTCAAAAAATCTTACGGAGAGAACGGCACGCAATCCAGGGGTCTAACCCAGGTTGCTCTCCCACTAAACCAAGCTGTGACCCATAGTGGAGTTTGGCAGTCGTCTGGGATGTATCAGCAGCTCTACTTGGAGATAACACTGTTACCCCTGGTGAGGAAGGGGATAGAAAAGATATTCAAAACAAGTGCTAGGATCAACGTCATCCGCATATAGACCGTAGATCGCAGATGTGCAACTCATGGTCGAAGCAATCAAAAGAACAATAACCCACGTCTCCATCAACCCAACAAGCTGGCTGAGTGACCTTACTCTAGCAACTATGAACGTTCGCTCTCTCTTAGACAACCCACGAAACAAGCGGCCGGAAATGAGGACGGCGCTATTCGCTCGAGAGCTGGTGCTCTACAAGGTGAACATCGTTGTCCTCATCGAGACCCGCTTCCATGAACAAGATCAATTGGAGAAGGTGGGTGCCAGCTACACCATCTTCTGTAGCGGTCGCCCAAAGGCAGAACGACGCAACGCGGTGCACCTTTGCCATCTGGAACGACATCGTTAGAAGACTGCCCTGTCCACCACAGGGTATCAACGACCACCTCATAGCCCTGAGCTTGCCTCCTTTAGGAGCCAGTTTCTCCACCTTCGTCAGCGTTTACGGGTCGTCACTGTTAAAGTCAAAAGAACAGCTCGCAATTCTCAAGCTTTTCCGACCTACAACGCAAACAACAGATTCCTTTCAAGATGCCCACTCTGCCAGTGAGCATTCTGCTCACGGATCGGCCTCATCGGAGTTCTCCAGACCCAATGAAATAACAAACCAACAACACCTCCTGCTTCAGAAAACAGCCCTATCGTCATCTCTGCACCAACCCCACGACATGCACGACGACGGCGACCACCACCACCATTGATCATATGCCTGGTAACCCGACGCCTCAGTCGACTTCATCGGCTCCATCACCCCTAATATCCCTGTCACAGTCCCCTCAACGACGATGACGACGACTACCATCCTTCCAACTTATTACCGCTGAGGACACCGCCGACGCTCTGTCAACCATCACCTTCACCGCCACAGTCCTCACCACCAGTAGTGTGGACTCGATTGAAACTATCCCCATTGCGGTCGCACCTTCGCCTCACACATCGGCCTGCTCGATCGTTCACGAATTTATCGCATCGAGACCAGTGCATCAGTGTCAGGAATCCTGACAAGCACAAACTGCATCCGGCTCCACTGCCTACATTGCCCAGGCACATCCACACACCGCATGGGCTTATTCGGTCACATGCGTATCCAATACAGCGGATTTCACCGAAATATTGACATTCCCAGCCCACTTTGCACACCCGACGACTCTCCCACCTCAAGCAATATCAGCCCCTTCTCTACCAAGACGGCAAAACTAGCGGCATAACTACAGCAACCGGCTCAGAAGCTCCCAATCTATCCTGCCCACACTGACATCACACATCCACATTACGCATCGGTCTGGTCGGTAATTTGCAAATCAATCACACAGAGGGTGGTCGACCACTGACTGGGGTACCAAATTACACTCACCGCAGTCGCACCAAATGCCCACGATGTCCACGCGCACTCACTCACCTCATGGGTCTACTCGGTCACATGCGGATCCATGGAGAGTCTGAAACGTCAGGCGAATAAAGCTCTTGTTCCAGCAATCGGGTCTCCTTCTCCATGGATCCGCAAAAACCTGCGACAAAATACCACCGATCAGATTGTATCACTACAGACCTCCTCACTAACACATACACCATACACGAGTCCATCCGTCATCACTCACTGCAAACACGAAATCGGCACCACTCATGCAAATTGGAATCATGCTCTTAGGCGCCTTCTCCATGTAGCCCCCATGGCACTCTAATGCATCTGGGATCCGAGCAGCCTATCTCCTTTGCGGGAAATGCCTGCGTTTTGTGAGTATCGGGTCGTGCCTGTGGCACACGAAGACGGGTTGCTGTTAGCTCCGTTAACCATTGCGTTCGATATCATCACCACTTGGTTGACCGGCCTGGACAATTGACTTGTGCGCGGAAGGGTGGAGAGTGAGAGAGAGAGAGTGGCTGACTCTCGGCGCATGTTCTCACCATAAACAGTCGTACGCGCCTGAATCCATCACGGTGCGTAAAAGACCATTGCATGGAAGGCTGAAAAGTTACCATTTAACTCAGACCTCGAAGTCAGCCCTGTGGGAATACGTGTGGAGGGGTCGACTGGTAGACTGACAGGCCGCAATGGTTCTTTCATAATGCGGCATGTATGGCCTGGTAACTCATTTGGGATCCGAGCCATCCCTTTTTTCTTGCGTGAAGTCCTGGTCCTTTGTGCGTGAACCAGTGAGTGTAGTGACACACCTAGGTACGGGTTCACGAAATGTTAACCGCCTGCGCCCGATCGCGATTCGGTCTTCTTGACTCTTCCTTGACAGGGCGCCCAGGCGCATTAAGAAGGAGAGTGTGCTGCAGATGCAGCGAAAGTCCATATTACTATAGACCTACTCAAGCGCAAGCCGCCGTCCCTGCGTCCGCTCTGCTGTGCGGCACACAGTCGACTTCGTCGAAATCGACAGTCGAATTTTCGACAGGTTTGCACCGATCTCGTTTTTTGAGGAAACTTCAAATCCATAGTTCCGCGCGAGAGTAAATAACAAAAGTCACGATATATATGTTAGGGCTTGCTAGGGAAGAAGAGCTGTCACTTTTTATCTAGCTGTCGGTTAGTCCGGACTCCAAGGGGTGATGGATGATAAGAAAAAATCCAACAAAGATAAAACAGCTTTCACATCTAACAAATATACAATCGTAGGCTGGTGAATTCGATTCTACTGGTACGCACCGACCATCCTTCACAATGCTGCGAAGTAGAGTAGGGGAATTTTTACTTGGCGACCCCTACTTGAGTGCGGTTATCAGTGACTCGTCCGTTCCAAAACCCACAAGTTACTCAGGTAGGCGTTTTAACAAGACAAAGCGGTTCAAGCTCCCGCGTCCACAGGGACTCATGCACTCAAAGACCCAATGGGCGAATAATTAATAACCAGAACTATGCAATACAGCCTGTGACGCCAGCTGCATCGCAACAACTTAGATAGGCTCTAACATACGTTCTACCGAAAGTTCAATGTCAAAATCCCTGCGTCACCTCCTTTGTCGGTCAATGAGGAATAGCTTAAAAGATCCATAACCTTGTGACTGGAATGGTCTGACCGAGGTAGACAACTGTTTTGGCTTCCGGGTGCTGGATGCAACAATAATTAAAGATTGCGGAGTCTCACCCATTGTTTCATCTTTGTTTACCACATGCAAGTGTTTTCTGCACGATCGCAAGAGACTGGACAGTCGATAATCCAGCAATGGCTCCGAATGCAGACTGATGAGTTCGAGGTTTATCAAAGGGTCAATGATAGGAGATCGGTATTTAGTGCTGACATTATATTTTGGTCAGAGCATGTTCACATCAAGCAGCCTTGCAATATCATTACAACTTCCTTCAGACTACTGGATTCAGAAATGTAAACTTAAACAGTTAAAAACAACAAAGTGTCCGTCATCAGCCAATGTCCATGTACCGACGCAGCCCAATTTCGAACGCAAGCTAGACTCGCATTTTAAATCAAACGATCTTGCCACTGGAATTACTGAACTCTCACTACGGTCAGTGACTGATCTCATGAAATGTTAGCCGAAATTCCGAAGTGCATTTTAGATTAGGAAAGGTTACTCAGGTGGGGTTGTTATATTAATTAACATGCGGTATAATCCTAGAATATGTGAACTTGTCAGAATTTTGGCTTTTAAATGTGCTTCTTTTCGACCTCGGTAAAAAAATGGCTACTTATGTATGTAGTATGCATTTTCAAATTGACTTTTGCTGGCCTTATAAATTCGAATATTTTTATAGAAAACATGCACAAACTATGCTTTCTTTTGCTCATTTGCTAACAAATCATGCCTTCTGTACATTTTATGGCGTAAGAAGGGGTATCCTTTGGCTTTAAAAGTTTCTAATTATGCAACTTTGTAAGACCGTGCACTGTTCACTCAAAGAGTTTCATATCTTTATTTTTATTAATACTTTTCATGAAGTATCCAACATAGTCCGCATCCATTGCAAAATTTTATGAATTCTACATAGCATCTTCATAAACACATACAAGAATGTAGGATTTTCCTTACGCGGACAGTATAGGCCTTGTAGACCAAAATCGCCAAACGCTAATGAGATAGATTTGACATAAAATTATTGGTGAATTGGGAGACTCTTTCAAAACCTAGATATGCCCTATCTTCGGTTGTAAAATGCAAAAATCACGTGATTTGCTTCCAACTGAAAAAAAGAAAGGGCGGGGAAAATGCAAAACTTTTCGCTGCCGCCGCCGGGGTATAGTATGAAAACGTGGCCTCAAATAAAGCATTTTACGGTCATGGCGATGATACCGCAAAAGCATTTTGGGTCACTTTTAAAGGACACTGACAAAATTCGAGTACATTTCCCATCGTCTAGTCCTAGGGTCAGTTCAAAAATATTAAATTCAAATCTGTACCTACCATGCGAATCAACTTGGAAACCGTCATTTCAAAACAGGGCCCCGCATTGCTCCTCTAGAACTTGAAGTGGTTCTTGAACATTACACCTTTGTCAGCACTAACGGATGGGAGAAAAGGAGTGTATCCAGGTGACCGGTGCCGCAAGCGCCTGCTCAACAGTATAGTGGCGACCTCAGCTGAACTAATCTCGGGAGCATGCGTATTACCAAAAACAATGGTGGTGTTGTACGTACTGATATTCCGGACTGCTAGAGACGATATCACTATACTTGAGTAATGAATGCGGTCAGATTAAAATTATAACGTAGTCAACTGCAAAACCATGAAAAGGTAATTCCCAACTCTTATGTTCCGACGTGGTGGAGGTTCTTACTAAGCACTTCTTTGTCTTTGTAAGGCCACTTCATTCCAAATTCCTCAGCATGAGCAGACTGAGTTTGCTGCAATCAAAAATAGGCGACTCTTCGACGAAATCGAATCCTACCCGGGAATTTTTATACGCCACACTGGTTCTGCAAAGTTTTCTGTTTAGCGTTCCTAGGCATCTATGATTCATAACCTGATTAAGCCAAAATATGCTAACTAGCTACACGGTCATCCACCTACATACATGTATGAGAAGAGGCAGGTCCCAAGTGTAGGGGCAAAAGAAGACTACTTACTACCTAGACGGGAAGATCAATTTGTATAAAGTCTCTCCTTTTGTGTCTACAGTGTACGTGGAAACTCATAAAGGACTCCTTAGAATGTTTACATTAGTTTAGGGATGGAAGCAAACCTGCAACGACAGAAGTCGTCGAAGACAAAACAGGTTTATATTTTCTCCCGCTGCAAAAAAGCAAAGAGATCTAAAAGCGTTCACGTGCGGCTACAATCCCGATTTACACGAAACATTACAGATGGGCAAATCATATATGATGGAATAGTGGCTTTGGCTAAGTGTCCACCCAGCCGCTTTTGTAAAATAACTTGAAAAAATCTTGAATTCGGCAATATTATTAAATTCCGCATATTTTGAGTAAGACAAATGTTATCACAAGTTCGAAAGTTTCCTAAAATGCGGACCATACAGTGCGTGACCTATCTCATGAAATGTTGGCTGAAATTCTGAAATGCGTTTTCGATAAGGAAGGATTACTTGGTCGCGGTTGTGATACTGATTATCATAAGGCATACTTTTATAACAGTTCGGACTCGGCAGGATGTCGGCTTTTAAATGCACTTCTTTTCGCTCTCCTGTAGAAAGCGTGCTCGGTAAAAAATGACTACTTAAGTAGCATGCATTTTTCCCATTGATTTTCGATGGTCTTGGAAATTCAAATATATTTTATAGAAA